CGAAGCCCACGCACCCTAGAGACCGCCCGCTGCAACTACTGAGCCCACGTGCTGCAACTACTAAAGCCCACACGCATAAAGCCCGTGCTCCACGATGAGAGAAGCCACCGCAATGAGAAGCCCACGCACCGCAACAAAGAGTAGCCCCGCTCGCCACAACTAGAGAAAGCCCACACGCAGCAACAAAGACCCACTGCAGCCAAAGAAAAAAAACCACAAACAAACAAAATTGGGGGCCTCTCTCGAGCTGTACTGGCCGCTGAGGCCCGCTGTGCAGCAGACCTGACAACTCCCATGTCCAGACTTCTCTGGGGACAGGGACACGGTCAGCCGTTTCAAAAGGTGGAATGTTACCGTATTTTCCCCAGTCTGCTCCAGGAACAGCCTCCCTTCCACCCTGTTACAGAAGTAGCTGGAGAAGAGGTTCCCAGACACTTGGCCACCCCAGGACTTGCATCCTCTGCTAGTCCATGAGCAACAAAACCAACACAGGCACAGCACTGTTGTTCCTGACCCAGGGACAGTGGGTTGCTTATATTATTCTTCTAGGCCTTTGCAGTATTTCACTATAAAAATGCATGAAAGTAATCCACGCACTTTGTTAAAAGAACATTCAAACACTGAAAGGATAAAGTGACAAGTCACGTCTACCCACCCAACCCTGGTCTTACTCCCAAGAGCCCACTCTACTAACAGCTTTTTCTTCGCCCCTTTTGGAAAATGTCTATGCATACACAAAAGCACATGCACATATTTTTTAAACACATACGCAGGGCATGCTGTCCTGCGTCTCTCTTTTCCCCCATTTCATACCTCAGAGATCTTTCCTAACCAACAAATACAGACCGATTCAGACATGAATTTACTCCTAGTTCATGGTGAGAAACCCTCCTCTTGTCTTTACTGAGTGCTCGGGTGAGCGGCCCACGTGGGACAGCAGATCACACTATTCGTACATGTATGTGACCACCAGAGTCTTGTGGCTCTTTTATCAATCCACCTGGTTTGGTGTATTTGTTTTTCCCAACAGCCTCCAATCAGCCTCAGGGCTCCCTAAGGTCTTCAACAGTGAAGCAGACCTACTGGGAACACCCATTATCCATATCCTGCCAGGTTTCCAGGTTCTGGGTCCCAGCAAACACTCCACATGTCTTTCTGAGGCTCCAGGAAGCATCTGTCTCACTTAGCCGGGCAGCAGACATACTGCCTGCCTCCATACCCAGTGCAGAAGGCAGCGTGGGGCTGGCAAGAGTCACCACTAGAGCTCTGAAGAGGTCTGAACTCTTTGTAAACAAGAGGAAGCTGCCACATCATCTTGCACTGCATTGAAGGGTGTGGGAAGGGCTTAGAGCTGCCTACAGGTAAGGCCTCTGTGAGTTCTATGATTGATAAGTAACTATGTTACCATCAGAGAATAATAATGAGTGCCCCAAGAGCCCAGAGCTGTACTGGGCCCCTCTCATTAAAGATGGACACTGGCAATTGAAAGGCTCCTATTCCCTCCTTTCTGCCTTCCTTTTCTTTCTTTCTTTTTTTTTTTTCCTTTCTAGTTTTTCAAATCTAACGTTTTTAACCTAAGTATAGTTGATTTACAATGTTGTGTTGCCTTTCTTTTCTCTATACATTCAACAAATATTTAGCAAGCAGTGATTCTAGATCAGGCATTGTGCTACGCAGTAGAGAAAACAGGTCCCAAAGAAAGCAGGGAAAACAAACAGTAATCAGATCATTGGACTTCCCCCATCGCCCTTCTATTCCAAACACACAGACAGGCTGTGTAAAATACTTCTCTTTGACACAACCAAGCTCTAGGCGAGACAGGGCCCGCTCCAGGTGCCAGAAATGAGGAGGAAACTCAAAGCTAAAACCAAGAGCTGAGAGAGGAAGCTGGGCAGGCCTGGGAGTTTAGGAACTAGATGGACAGGCTCAGGAGAGTCCGGGCTCCCAGCCAAGGTGGTAGAGCCAGCAGACACCTACTTCAGAAGGTTCTCCGCTCCCGTTCTCATCCGCACGGCTTTCAGGATCTGCTGGTTCAAGGCAGCCCTCTGATTCTGCAGTTTGCTCCGGCCAGTCTGTGCGAGGGGATTGCAACCCTGAGGGAAAACAAGAGATGCCCCTTCAGAGGTCAGCCACTCTAAAAATGATGACAAACGTCTAATACAACAGAAAATGTTTTAAAAACTCATTTTTTCTGAAAGTAAAAGTAATATATTTTCCAACATGGAAAATATATAAAATACGAAAAATATAAAAAAAGTCAGTCCTAATAACACAACTCCAAAACAGCCACTGTGATTGGTTTCTTTCCTGCCCACCTATTTTACAATATATGCATATTGTTACTTCCCACATTAGTGGCTGAGTAGGGAGTTCCCCAGACCAGCCCCATGTCTGGAGTTTCACAGGACTCAGCATACAGTTGCACTCAACAGCTAAGATTTATGACAGCAGTTTAGTAAAGATACATAGCTGGATCATGGGGAAGCAGAGGTAGAGTCTGGAGGAATCCACGTGCAGGCTTCCTTATGCTTTCTCTGTCCTATGACGGGTCACACAAAGCACACTCCTCCCCCAGCAAGAAAAATGCAGCAACATGCATGCAGTGTCACTGCCCAGGTTGGCCCATTAGAAAATCAAATTCATGGTTTTTATTAGGGGCTGATCACAAAGGCACCTTCTGCCTAGCACATACCAAAATTCCAGGCTGCCGAAAGGAAAGCAGGTGTTCATTGCAAACCACATGGTTTTCGCCATTAGTTTAGACACAGCGAGCCAACTTCATCACTTAGGGGATGAAAGGAACACTCCAAGAGCCAAGCTCCCAGAGACCAGGCAGGGGCCAACCTTGCAAGCAGGTCTTCCTAAGGAAAGCAGCCTCAGGTCTGCCATGCTAACCCTTTTCTGCACAGTGGCACACATAGGCTATCATGTTTTCTCACTTAATACTCTATCATGAAGTGATAGAAGTGCTCCTTTGTTATGAAGTGCTCCTCAAAATCATGATTTTAATCATTGCATAATGTTGCCTTTTTTTAGGATTTACCATTTCCTTATGGTCAGACAGTTAGATTGTTTCCAAGTATCTGCTATTATCTATAATTATTTGGTGCATATTTGTAAACACGAATCTTTGTAAACCTCAAGTTTTTCCTTTAAGGTATATTTCTAGGACTGAGTTACAGGGCGTCTAACCTCTTTAAGCCCCCTCCTCCCCCTAAGCACCAGCCCAATTATCCTCCAGCAAAGAAAGGTACTATTTCCTGTCCCTTCTCCCCGGTAGCATTAGGCAACCATGAGTCCATTGATAATTTCTGTCTGCATAGACTTGCTTATTCTGGACATTTCACTTAAGTGGAATGATACAGAATACAGTCTTTCGTGATGGGCTCCTTTCACTCAGCATAACGTTTTCAAGGTTCCTCCGTGGTGTAGAACATATCAGTACTTCACTCCTTTTTGTCCCTAACACTCCAATCAATATGAACGTTCATTTATCCATTCATCAGCTGATGGACATTTGAGGGTGTTTTCACTTGTTGGCTCTTATGAATAGGGCTGCTTATTTGTGTGTAAGTTTTTATGTGGATGTATGTTTTCCTTTCTTCGCTTGGCTATAGATCTAGGAATGGAACTACTGGGTCATATGGTTAGTTCTATGTTTAACCATTTGAGGTCAAACTATTTCCCAAAGCGGCTAAAATATTTTACATTCCCACCAACACTAGACGAGGGTTCCAATTTACCCCTATCCTCATCAATACTTGTTATTGTCTTTATTAGAGCCAACCTAGGATGTGTGCTATCTCACTGTGGTTTTGATTTGCATTTCCCTTATGGTTAATGATGTTAAACATCTTTTCTTGTGCTTATTGGCCATTTATGTATCTTTGGAGAAAGATCAATTCAGATTCCTTGCCCAACTTTTTTTTTTTTTTTTTTTGCCACATCACAGGGCATGCGAGATCTTAGTTCCCTAATCAGGGATCGAACCCTCGCCCCTAAATTGGAAGCGCAGTCTTAACCACTGGACCGCCAGGGAATTCCCTCCTTGCCGTTTTTTTTTTTCTTTTTGCGGTACGCGGGCCTCTCACTGTTGTGGCCTCTCCCGCTGTGGATCACAGGCTCCGGACACGCAGGCTCAGCGGCCATGGCTCACGGGCCCAGCCGCTCTGTGGCATGTGGGATCTTCCCAGACCTGGGCGCGAACCCGTGTCCCCTGCATCGGCAGGCAGACTCTCAACCACTACGCCACCAGGGAAGCCCCCTCCTTGCCCATTTTTAAACTGGGTTATTTTTTTACTGTTGAGTTTAAAGTATTATTTTCAATCTTTGCCAAATTGATATGCAAAAAACAGGTATCCCATGCTCCCAATTTGCAAGGATTATTAGTGAAGATAAACATTTTTTTTCATATATTATTGATCACTTGAATTGCTTTTTCAGTGAATTGTCTGTGTTCTCTATCCATTATTTCCTGGGGTATTTAGATTACAATCAGTGTTTCATTGTGAAAAGTTTAAAATCAAAAAAAGAGTTTCCTTTTTTTTTTTTTTTTTAGCTGTGCGTCTTGCGGGAGCTTATTCCCCACCAGACACTGAACCTGGGCCACCACAGCGAAAGCGCCAAGTCCTATAACCACCGGACCGCCAGGGAATTCCCATCCTCTTTTTTTTTTCTTCCAACTGTGTTAGTCTCTTTTTATTCTTTTGGTAATTTCTTCCAGAGTTAACCACTTCCATTTGTAGGTGATGAAATGTGTAAGAAATCCACTTCAAATGTTGGCACTGCTATGAGCATGGTCTTTCCCTTTACTTCAACTGAATCACTGTTGATTCTTGTGTATATTCCAAGTCCCGGAAGTGGTTTTCACTGTGGAAGTTATCTGAAGATGGTCTTATGCCTTCTAGTAGTGGTCTACAACCAGGTTCTAGCTTCTCCAGGAAGGCGACACAGGATGGATTTAGATATTACATATTAAACTAAGAGGCATTCTCTAAATCGAGTTTAAACGCATTTTATTTTTAGACAACCTACATGACATTTTTTTTTCTCAAATAGAATGCCTCCGCTCCAAACAAATCAACATCAAAACGAAGAGCTCAAGATGACATCAGTCCCATTTGTCTAAGTCCTGGTGTTGTGCGGATGAAAAGCGGCAGCCAGCCAGTTATGGCGAGAAGATAGAGCCAAACAGCCAAATTTGTTGACATTTTTCCATTTCTAGACCATCCTTAAAACAAAATCATATATGGGGTCACACCATCCTCACGGTAGTCCCGCAGAGCAGCCATGCTATCTGGATTCATGTTTTCACCAATAAAGAACTGATCGTTTTTGAAATGAGCAAGGATGTGCTTGATTTGTTCTGCAGGCCCTGTCATAAAAGGTTTTACTCTTTCTGGTCTCTGTTCTTCAAGCTTCCCTTTGATTAACTTCATGTAATCTTTTTTTTTTGCGGTGCGTGGGCCTCTCACTGCTGTGGCCTCTCCCGCTGCAGAGCACAGGCTCCGGATGCGCAGGCCCAGCGGCCATGGCTCACGGACCCAGCCGCTCTGCGGCATGTGGGATCTTCCCGGACCGGGGCACGAACCCGCGTCCCCTGTATCGGCAGGCAGACTCCCAACCACTGCGCCACCAGGGAAGCCCTGCATGTAATCTTTGATGTACTTCTTGTAGGCTTCTTTTGTGAAGCTGGTTTCCTGCAAGTGATGGTTCATGACAATAACCACACCAGTGATTACTGTGCAGTCGGTACCTTCGCCCTCGGGGCCTTCAGCGGAGGCAGTCATCAATGTTACCCTCTGTCCTACTGACCATATTCCCCTCCACCTCCAGACACAGCCCGTCCGCGACCTCCCGGATCTTGTGGATGTCAGAGAACATTTCATCATGGCTGATGAGGTCCCGGTAGATGATCATGATAGAGGGAGACATCGGTGGCACTAGCTTAGTAGGAGCCCGGAGCTCAGAGGGAGCGTGGTGCAGCCGGAGCGGCGCTCGGCGGGGAAGGGGGAGCAGGTGGAAAAGCTTTTTTTTTTTTTTTTTAAATTAAAGTAGAATTGATTTACAATATTGTGTTAGTTTCAGGTGTACAGCAAAGTGATTCAAAAAATTTCCTTTTAGCCTAATAGTGTTTTTCCCACCCCAGCAGGTAGAAGCCCAGGGATCTGAGGGAACGCTCCATTCCTTTCTGAAGCTTATCTTTCGGTTCCGCCCTGACGGGCTTGTAATCACACCCTGGGAGTGGCTGGTGGACAGTATTTGGTGAGGGGACTGCCCTTTCTCTCTACGTCACTGCCTTGGTCACTGCCATCACAGCTCCACACATACCTAGCCTCCCACACCTCTGCCCAAGCCACATCCATGGCCTTGACCCCAAGGAAGAAGAAATGGGTTCTCTACAGCCCCAACCTTCTCAGGCATTCCCATATCAGTGGCCTTTAGACTAGAGGGTCAGAAATAAGTTACATCTCTCCTTCCACAAAGATTTTTCACTCTCCCATCCCAGCAGGTGGCCACCCACCTGTCCCCCATGCAGCTGCCCAAATTCAAATTACACAGATATTCAGAATCTGAGCTGGAATAGTCTTAAAATTAACATCTTTCAAACCATTAAATGATCCCTGATTTAAAATAAAAATCAGAAAACTAATTCTCTCTTTTCAGATCTAAGATTAAAATGTCTTTAATATTAAGATAACTTAATAGTAAAGGGCTAAAGTAATTGCCACTCTCTTTCCTTTCCACGTCCTAAAATTACTATGAAGGGATGGCTCAATCTGACTTAAAATTACATGGCTCACCAAGGCTGTGTTCTATTTTACAGAGAAGCCTTAATAACTAATTCCTTTACATACATTCCCAGAGCTAAGATTACGCAGCCATTCCAGCTCACGGATAAGAACTTTTTCCTGCTCCCATACTTCACCCAACTTCTGGCTGGCCTGGAATAACTACACCCTAACCAGCCCACAGATGTAGGGTCAAGTTTCCAGATAAGACATAGGAATGCTTAGGATTAGATTTGACTGAGTAATTGGACCGCAACTACATTACTTCTTACTGACAGGTAGGAATGCCAGACCTGTTGGAAACACCAGAAACGCCCGCAGGGCTGTTTGGAAACTTCCCAGAGCCCTGAGAGATGAATCTGGGCAAGACTGTCCAAAAGACCCCCTGGCATCACCAGAGGCTGCTAGCCGTCCACCGGCCCCTGCCAGGGGTTCTCTGCTAATGGGGACCCACAGTCCTCAGCCATACCTTAGTTCTTACTTGGTTCACAACAGGATGTAGAGCTGCTCCAAACTGAACTGAGGGTTTGTGCCCAGGACTGAGGCAGCACCTGTCACGCCTGCCTGGCCTGGGAAGTGGGGAGGGATTGGGGGGAACAAGTGAACTGTCCTTGCCTCTAGGGTCGCTGTCCACAAGTCTTACAGTGAAGTTGAGAGTCTGTCCACTACACAGAGTCTGTCAGTTACCTGACCAGCCTAAGGTTTGGGCATTGGCGTCAGTCTCAATACGTGGAAGGATGGTCCGACTGCCAACACCCAAGAAAAGCAAGTACTGAGTAAAGCTCAGCTTCCTCACTAGCTTAGTGGCGTCTCCCACATTGTCCACGTTGTTGGACTCTGGTATGGCATCTCGGACCCCACAGTTCTGAGGCTTGGAGGGTAAGTGAGCTACTCAAGATGCTAGAGGCAGTAAGGGTGGGAGGAGGACTTAAGCCCACGTCCTTCCTGCCACTCTGAGATGAGCCTGAGCAGCAGGAATGTGTGGGAATGCGGGGACAGCTCGCCCACCAACCCCCGGACACCCCTTACGTGCTTCCTGGCTGAGGGCTGCCCAGCTCAGTGCATATCTTTTGGCCACAGTGACCCATGTCCCACTCTCCCACCTCGCAGCCCATAGCGGTCAGGGGTTGTAAAGCCATGCTCCCACACCTCCTTTCCAAGGGGAAGGACATCTGATTCATACGTGGCTAGTTGTAAAACCAAAGGCCCCAGCCCTGAGTTTGATTCAGGGTGAGCACCTGACATAGGACAACAGAGCCCATCAGGAGGGGCCTTCATTTTTCCCCATCAGCCTTGAACCTAGGAGGATGTGAGGCTGGGCAGCTGCAGCCACGTTACCACTGTGGGGGGAGTGTCTCCCCCCAAATGAAGCCAACCTAGGGGGGAGCAGAGCTGAGAAACTGAGTTTTGGGGGCAGCATTTGAGCCCTAGATCAAGGCAGGCCTGAAGCCATTCCTCTGGGCTTCTCAGTTACAGGAGCCAAATGCATTCCCTTTCTTGCCTAAGCCATTTTTTAAAAATTGAGGTATAATTTACACATAATGAAATACATAGCTTTTTAAGTACATAGTTCAATGAGTTTGGATAAACGTGTATACCTATGTAACCACTATTCCAATCAGAATATAGACCATTCTCATTACCCACCAAGGCAACCAAGACTCTGATTTCTATCACCATAGACTTTTGCCTGTTCTAGAATGTCATATAAATGGAATCATAGGGCATGTGTGCTTTTGTGTCTGGCTTATTTTGCTCAATAGTATGCTTTGAGATTCATCCATGTTGTACTTATCAGTGGTTTGCTCCTTTTAATTGCTGAGTAGAATTCCATTGTAGGAATGTACCATGGTGTGTTTATCTGCCTAAACCACTGGGGATTCGATCTTCTGGTAACCACAACTAAGAAAGTCTTAAGTAGAATAAGTTCACCCAGAGTGAAAACTCTATTTGTTAATATACACGCACATGCCTTTAGGGTATAGTTAAGTTGTTCAGCTGGGAAACAAGTATTTAAGAGCAGCACCTAGGCAAAAACTGGAGTCAGTGGATTTGGAAGAAAGGAAAGGCTACTTGACCTACAACATGCAGAGACTGACAGTGAAAAGGCAGATAGGCCAGGCCACTGGGAAGGCAGACACAGGGTAGGGAGCAGTCTTTCCTCCCCAGCAGGGGGTGGGGGGGCCCTGCTCTAGGCAGTGCCTGGCGCTTGGCTCTCCTCCACCCCAAGAACCAGTGAGGGCCTTTCTTCCACGCAGCCAAAGTTAAAGCCCACACATGTAGATCTGTCTCCAGCAAATTGAGGGCACAGTGTGAACTTGAAGTCTCTAGGTCAGGAGTAAGACTGAGTGAAGGTGACCATGCAGGGTCCCCTGGCTCGTGACCCTCACGCAGGGCATGGAAGAGTGGGGTGCTTTTTGCTGCCTCTCCAGCACGAAGATATTTTCTCTGCCTTCCTTCCTAGTCATGCAACCCCTCACTCAACCACCAAGCTCTGGAAAACAGAATTGTTTGTTTATGAGTTAGCCAGAAGCTGTCAACCAGAAAGCACAGAAATAGCATGCAATACCCTGCAATACACAAAAATACATCTAATTTAACTTTTCACCATGCTGGAGACTCAGGGCAGTTTGGATGAACAGAATCTACCTTTTCCGTGTCCATAAAAATTAAAACATGAATTTGCCACTTGTAAAGAGGTCTCCTCCCCTTCCAGGATCTCTGCCAGGTGCCTTCCTCTGGCGTCCCCATCCACTCACATGGGGGTAGGGGGCCACAATATGAACAGACTCCCTTCAGTCACTTCTACAAATCTTTACAGACACCTACCGTGTGTGTACAAAGTGCGTGCCACTCTACAAAGATTTACAATCACCAAAATTTCTAAGAGACAAATGTATTTTCAGACCCAACTGATGACCTGTTTATTTCAACTGGTAGGATGTACACACCACTAGTGAGCAGTCCTTGGTGGGGGGAAGATGGTATGTGCGTGTGATTTTGTACACTTCTGTTATTACCCTTTTTTACAACAATTTATGTTACTTTTATAATACAATAATATTGGAGAAAAAGAAACTACTTCTGAAGTTGTAGTTTTGGATCACCTGCCTTTTTCTCCTCTTAGAATCCAATCGAAACAGGATTTTCTACGGCATATGGCCCTAGTGAACTCCGTGGGTCTGACTAGCAAGGCCAGAAGGACGTGCATCTCTCCCTGTTTCTGGCGCTACGGGCAGGAGACCTTGCCCCCAGCTGGCACCCCTTGCTGCCAGCTCTGCCGGACACTCAGTCTGGCTGAGCTGCACCTGCGGTTCCGCTTTCCTCTGTGGCCACCTCCAATACAGCCTTTGTGTCAGGAGACTCTAGTACCCGAGCCAAAGGAGGAAGTGGTGATCAGGCTAAAGGCAATGCCCTGTATGATCAGGTGGTGTCTTGGAATCCGTCCAAATAGCCCCAGGAAGCAAGGGACATTTACAGTGTTACAGCTCATCATGCTGACTCTCCTCTGAGTCACCTGAAAATTCTGTTCCTGCCAGGGGACCCCCTCCTGGCCAGGATCCCGCAATGTGACGAGGAGTCTGTCCACCACGCCCTCTGGGCTGCTGGTGTGCACCAGTGCAGCTGGACAGACCCTCACCAAGGCCATGATCAGCCTGGATCCAGCCTGGCCTGTAGGGTCTGGCTCTGACCATGGTGGGGTAGCGGGTGGGGAAGAGGCAGCAGCACAAACTTTTACACCCTTCCTCCTCCCTCCCCCACCCCCACCTGGAGAAACATCATCACTACCCAATAAAAATGGGGCAGGGACTTCCCTGGTGGCGCAGTGCTTAAGAATCCGCCTGCCAATGCAGGGGACACGGGTTCGAGCCCTGCTCCGGGAAGATCCCACATGCCGCAGAACAACTAAGCCTGTGCGCCACAACTACTGCGCCTGGGCTCTAGAGCCCACGAGCCACAACTGCTGAGCCTGAGAGTCACAACTACTGAAGCCCACGCGCCTAGAGCCCGTGCTCCGCAACAAGAGAAGCCACCACGGGCTTCCCTGGTGGCACAGTGGTTGGGAGTCTGCCTGCCGATGCAGGGGACGCGTGTTCGTGTCCCGATCCGGGAGGATCCCGCATGCCACGGAGCGGCTGGGCCCGTGAGC